GCATATACAGCTACTGACAGGAAATCCTACTCAATGCCTTCTCGCGGATGGGGAGATTTTAGCAAGTTGAGAGGACGAAAAGCGAATGTCCAAAACTTAACCGAGTTGGTGGACACAAATGATTGACCTAGGGGAGTTGGGGAACCCTGATTCCAAACTAGTGGTGCACACGGGCTCCAGTATCCTGAAGGAACAAGTGGCGTATGAACTTGTTGTTGTTCGCCGGCTACCATGAGACTGCATCTCCTTACGTTGCTCCACTGCCATGTGGGTCAGACCTTAAGGTCAAAGGCTCCGGGTGTGTCCCTCTAAGAAAACCACCTGCTTCGGCCTGAGCACCCGGGTAGTATCACGGCCCTCACACAAATCTAATGAGATGACAATTACTTCACGAAATACTATGCTCACTTCGATTAGAATTCAGACAATTCACATTCAATTGATAACACTCATTTTTATTATTATTACTACTTTTTATATATTACGTCACTTATCTACGTCTATTCTCACTTCATGTATCCCAATTTTTTAACTTATCTAGCAGCTCGTCCATGGTGGAAACTCTGTTCTACCTAAACGATCTCGAGTCACTGTCTGGTCGAAAGTTGAATGCTTCCACCGAATACGAATACTGAAACAGTCTTTCTGAAACCATGTATACCATTCAAACTGGTTATCCGAGACCAGAATTCAAGACTCTAATGAACTACTATAATTTCGCTCTCCATCTGTTGCTTCGAAAAGCTTGTTTCACGTGCGTTTATCAGGGGACCCCATTGCATCTTCGTCTGGTCTTTCTGGTATTGGTGTTGCACTAAGCGTTAGAGCTGAAGCAGCACTGATCAATAGGATCCCCATTAACAGTCGGTTATATGTTATTAGATTAGAAAGCTCCATCAAACTGCGAAGTCGTTGTGAGAAACGATGTTTCTTCATCTCCCGGATGCGATAAATGACGTGTTTTTACCACCACTTAACTGTTCTTTTACAGAAAGCGCGTTCGACAGATATTGTAGTACTAGCCGGAGACTTGAATGCTCAGGTCGGGCGTCAAGGCACAAAACAGAGTCGTTTAAGCGGCCGATGGGGACTTGTTGATCGCAGGACAGATAGCGAATACCGTCTACTGCAAGTGTGCACAGACCACAACCTGTTTCTGGCTAGCGCTAACTACCGGCACCGTTATCGCTAATATGCTACCTGGCGTCCTCCCATCTCAAGCCTGGACTCAGATTAATCACATCGTGATCAGCAACAGCTGACTTGGTTGTGTACAAGACTGCCGATCCTTTTGGAGTGCCTATCTGGACTCTGATCATGCACTTGTTTGCGCCAATCTTACCTTACTTTCCAGTGGCCAACACATTCATCGTCCTAAACGGATCAGTGTCGGAAATTGGTCGGAGCGTGCCAATGAGTTGGAAGTAGCAGCTGCACCTGATAACTGCCGGAAGCTCTTTCAATTCATCCGAGCCACTGGCAGCAAGGTATTTGGTGTGAGAGAAACAATCTGTGAAGATGACAAGATGTAAATCATTGACATCTACCTATGTCTTAGACCATGGGCAGAGTTTTTTGAGGGGCAGTTCAACTGGTCTGCTACCCAGTAACATAGATCGGAGTGTGCAACAACTAATCCACCTAATGAGGCGCAAGCTGACGAGTAACTCCAACTCTTAAAGCGGTACAAACCTCCAGGCCAAGATGACTTAGCTCCGACCATATTTAAAGACGGCATTGAATTTCTAGTTAAGGAACTGTTATAATCTCTTTCTTCTTACGGTTATGACCCAGCTATTCCTATTGCTTAGTATTCTTGGACACTAAATCACTCGACAAGACCCCAAATCAGAACACGGTTGAACAGGAAAGAGATTATATTCCAAATAACAAGGTTAGACGGAAGTAAGATGCAAGCCAGAAGCACAATAGGGAAAACGTCAGTATATTTATGGTTTTTACATAAGAAGATTCCAGAGTATTCTCCAACTATCGACTAGTGCTGATTGGATAAGAATTAGCCAATCAGCGTGCACCAAAGCAATCATGCATTGAGCATGCTTTAATCTAGTCTATGTCCCGCTAACAGGAACCGACAAAGGTTTGGCAGTTAGAGAGTATAGGATTAAGCTTCAACGAGTTGAACCTCCTGGTTGTCGGCAGTAAGGAATGCAACCTCTTTTGCAATCTGTGTATTTTAGCAGACTGTCTTGATATTAGCATGGAAGTTGGGATGCAGATAAATCTAGATGATAAGTGTAAAATAAACCTAAATGAGTGTTTTGGATTCCACTGCTAGCCGCTGTTCTGATATGAATAACGGTTTGAGTTATCACATTGTTGATAATCAAGCCTCAATTTAGATGCCGGTACATCTAGCCGACATGTCGTAGATTGGATGAAACGCTCACGTTACATTCCACCACTAGCCACAATCTACCTATTCTGAACAACAGAATTGTTTGTTTGATTGTATTCGTTTGAAATGAGGAACAAAATATGTGAACGAGGTGCTATGTGGTTAATTGATAAGCATCTACACAATAGACAAGAGGTTCAGCACATGAATTCTAATGAGAATTATCTACACAGAAAAATACAACACACCTTCCACAAATATTGGACTTTGTCGAATTAAGACTAATCTGGTTTATGTGGTAATTTCATGAATAATGGGTTTGATTCATGCTAACAGTTGAATATGTTCCAAATGTTTCTATGATGAATTAGTCGTTTCAGTTATTCATATCTATTTAGGAGGTCAAATACTTCTACAATTCTAAAACGTACCTATTGATGCATTATTGATCATTTGTTCCTCCACTGAAGTTCATTTTGCTCACATAAACCGTTGCCGTACAAATGGATACGTTGCAACAAATAACATGGATTTTTCACTATTGATTTATCTAACACATGTGAGGAGATAATATAGAACATTGTGCTATTTCAATGAGCTGAATTACATGCGTTCATGCGTTTCGGATTTGCGTGAGGAAATCGAGTGTCTGTAATTGGCAGTTCTAACGAAACTAGAAATGATTGAGAGAATTGAAATATGAAACTCATCAATCTCTCTCAATTATCAAGATAATCCTTCTTCTTTTGTCTTTACAACATAAACCTGAATTGCGAACAGTTGTTTAGGAATTTAGTGGTACTGGTTTTCAGAGATAAATTAAATCAAAGTGAACTGTACAACGTTCCTAGTGTGGTATGAGTTGCACATTGAGTTGTTATGACCATCAGTACCTATGATCCGATTCACCTCGACACAAAACCAGTTTTACATCATACTTGATAAGATTACAGTGGGATTGTGAACATGTTTGTAGTGCTGGTAAATACGCGACCACCATATTCATGTAGGCCTGAAACATTCACATCTCCTTCAATCAGAGACATATTTCACCAATCAATCTTGATGTGTAAGGCGACCGAAACCAGTGATTGGATGAAAGACATCAGCATTTAGGAATTCATTTGTCATTAATATAGGTTTTCGTAAATACTTCCCTCATGAGTGACCATGTGAAGCATGTAGACTAAAGTAATTTTGAATGCTATTTTGCCGAACGTTTCATGGAATGAAAGGAGTTGCTTCATCTCACTTTCCCTTACTATACTTAGATTATAAGGACGAAATGTTTAGAATATTAGTGGAAGATGAGCTTCGATTCCTTGACGAATAAAAGTAATTCACACATACTTTCTTGTCTGTCGCGTTATTCATGTTTTGAGACGAATATTCGATACCGTTTTTGTTTTGTAAGTATGAATCTGACAGTTGGTTTACGAAAACCGAAATCTTGAACTGTTCACCTCCAATTCAAAAAAGTGAAAACTAGACTAGTCGACCATTCTCTTTCTTACATGATCTTCATGCATACGTATAGAGAGGATAGGCAATAAGTATTTTGGTGAATATATTGATCTACAATCAGACATAATGTGCAGCTGAATTGACTGGGATAATAAGGGAAGAATGCATATGTAGGCATCTCATTCATCTTTGGGAACAATTCGAGATGAATCGTTGCCTGATGGTATGTCTGCTAACAATTGATAATATGATACACAGTGTAATGGGTCATAAGATGCATACATTTTGAATGTGATCTATTCACGTAATCGAGAAACTATACCAACTTAATCTATCTTCACTGGTTAAATAAACATACTGCAGTTAATAACCTGAAAGTTATTCTATTAGATACATATATATATGAATATACTTCTAATGTCTGTGATAGCTTCATATAGTGAAACGATAAGTAGTTTAGGTTATCTGGAATATTTGGGCGTTGAATCCAATAGGTTGGTTAGTGCTAGATAATTGCATAGAAGTTCCACAGTCACAGATTATGTGCATTGTATACATCAATTCTGAAGGTGCGTCAATAAAGAACCAACCTATCAATTCATAATTGTCATCGAAATATTCTCCACATTGTCATTTAACGACTCACACTCATGATCCTCTTCTACAGTGACTGTGCACTAAATACGATTTGAAAATTACCTAATATTACATATCAACTATGTGTTTCGATAATTGTTTCCTACTAAATATATTCACTAGCAACGAGAAACCACAATGATATTACCCATCCTGAAACACATCTATATGACGAGATATAAAGAGAAAACACTCTTGGTCTTCTGCACGAATAACTGTTTATTTCAATTGTTTACTAATAATGAAGATGTTTCATTTTCGATTTTGAAACACCACCACAGATAAAATTACTACACACAAAAGCACACACTGACAATAATATGATAGTGGATCAACCAGTTCTGTTTTTTGGTCTTCATTCAAACTGTATATTATTCTGTGTTGGTTCTTATAAGGATGAAGTCGCGAATTGATGAGTAATACAGAAAATCGTGTTTGTGAAATGATTGAGTTGAGTTGCGTGCAGAATGATCAGATGTGTGTTACAATGTTTGATTTAGTTTCTGATGTTATTTCTCTTGAATTTTCGGCTTCCTCCAAATTAACCGGATTTGAATAGAAGAATTGCTACATTGCCCATATAAAAGTAGATGAAATGTTTCGTTTCATGCGTCACATGACTGTAAACAATGAAGGAAATAACACACCAGTTAGCAATACATTAACAAATTTCCTAAAAGCAAAGTTACATAATTCCTTATACACTGTTACAATCTCCACATTATAACTTCAAATGATTTCTGTCTTGGCATAGACAGTCAGTGAATAACATTGATTACATATTAATAATGAATAAATATTTATGTCGAGTTACAAAATATTACTAACCTTCCGAAATTTCTCCCAACAATACAATGCCATGTAGGATTGTATTTCTTGTCAAATTCTTTCTTAATGAATGCTGCTATATCTTTTTCGATACTAGATTTTTCTAAAGCTCGTGAAGCACAATTAACAGCCTCTTGTTGCATATCATCTGACATATCGGCATTATTGATTAATGGTTTACGTTCACCCATCATTATATTTTAAAAGATTTCCAATATGTATGCGGATGAGTTGAGTAGCCTTTTACTAATTGTCTTCACAGTGCTACCTTATAATAATTTCTAATTCCAAAACAGACACTATTTATATCAGCAAGAGTGTCATACTTTTGACCTTATTAAAAATGCGATGAAGTGAGTATTTAGTAGCTTGGCTTCAGATATAAAATGTGTGTAGGTATGTAGATAAATAAACAAATAAATAAATATATGTAGTGGCTCAGATTTCAATTGATTCATACATAATCTTGACGTACAGCCAATCAGTTACATCGTAGGACCAGGCACGTATTAAATCGGTCCAAGTTGCCATACCTCCTTAGCACAACAAGATGAACACTGAATTCAGAGAAGTAGTTGCTTCAATGGTAGTAATGTTCTAAAGAAAGATTGCATATAAGGATGTAGTACAGAAAGAAAGAATTAGTCGGTAGAAAGATATGAAGCAATTTTAATCGCAGATTTTAAGGGAAGACAGAAAGTTTATACACCTATGCCATTATGATCGATTCTCAGCTATATCACGCGGACCCCAACCAACTAGTCCCCTTCTATTAACATGGCTCACACCACAAGTTAGTAACTTCATGGATTGATGTCACGTTCTGGTCAGGTCGCCCCCAACTTCCTTCCATCCGTTTCCAACACTAGTCAGCATTGCGCATCGTAGTGGTCGGTGTTCAGGCATATGTAACCATCTCAGTCGATGAAGATTCACAACCCCATCAACTGCTTTACCATCATTCCCTAATACCCTGAGTCTAACCTCAATATTACTTACCCAGTGATCCCAGTAGATGCGAGAAATATTTCTAAGGTATCTGTGGTCAAATACTAGTAACTTACGAGTATCTTCTACCCTTAACGGCCACGTTTCACAGCCGTAAAGAAGAACAGAACGAACTGCCGCGTAGTATACTCGTCCTTAATTGACAGACGGATATCTCGCCTTCGCCATAGGTGACGTAAGTTGGTAAAAGCCAAACGAGCTTTCTGAATCCGTGCTGAGATTTCGTCAAACACCAACGTATGCCATAAGAATGGAAGTGATCTATGTTTGATTTTCGCGTTACAGTGTGAATTATAGTGAATTTTGTAATCCAAGTAAATGCTTTTCTATAAAAGTAGAACTAAACTACTTGATTTATTATTCAGTAGATGAATTTACAAGGTTGATTTACCAACGCCACAAAATAATATTTTAATCGATGAAATTGATTGTTCTGAACCATCATTTGCATAAACATTTAATTAGATTTGACAATCATCGTTAAACGATATCCTCATATCTCTTACTCTAAATATAATGTGAGCAAGGATAATAGTTAGAGGTGATTCGTCATAGTGGTTGTATATAGTTTATGTTGACGTATTGATTTAATGTGTAAATTGTGATATTCTGTTTCTGTTGGTGAGTATCATTTTTTAAGTAAATCCATGCAATGTACAACGCTGTGATACCACAGTGTTAACTCCACATATTCCACCTAGATTTTCTCTTAGTTAGTATATGCCAGTATGACGTATCTGGAATCATGAAGGCTTGAACAATTCACATGAGATTTAAATTCGAGTATCCCAGTTTCAGATACATAAACACTGATCTACTCGGAACAACGTGATCGGTGATATTTACATCACTATGCACTGATTGAATGATATTTCAAATTATTACACGATGGGTAGAGAAATTACTCGAAAGTGAATGATTAATTTCAATGAGTAAATATTTTGACCATATGAATTTCTTTAAAACTCACGAAATCTACAACACTAAATTCGTCTAGATTTTCGACTAACTAATCTAATATCTAACTCAATTTCTGCAATATTTATTACACAATAGACTACAATGAACCCCGCCTGTAGCTCTTCTAGGGTTACTGCCGGTCCCAAGCCCGGGTAAAGGAGGAGGGTTGGGCATGGGGTTAGCGTCCCCATCCCGTAGAAAACTAACTCGCCAAAAGAACACTAACCAGAAAAAATAATTCAAGCCATTTTAACTCTGCCCTGGGATCTAGAAGGTCTTCATTTAGAAGAATTATGACGCTTCATGGTGAAAGCCGAGTTCCTTCGGAAGCCACGAGGCCGATGCCCCTTCTAACAACCAGAGCAACAACTTTTATAGGTACATGGAACGTTCGAACAATGTGGGAAACCGGGAAGACCAGTCAAATAGCAATGGAAATGAGGAGATACAACTTAGCAGTACTGGGAATCAGCGAAACCCACTGGACCCAAGCTGGACAGAAAAGGCTAGCTACGGGAGAGATGCTGCTATACTCCGGTCACGAAGAGGAAAATACTCCACACACTCAGGGAGTCGCTCTTATGCTGTCCAAAGTAGCACGAAATGCACTTGTAGGATGGGAATCTCACGGATCCAGAATCATCAAAGCATCATTCAAAACAAAGAAGGAGGGGATCTTAATGAATATTATCCAATGTTATGCACCCACCAATGATAGCAACGACGACATTAAAGATCAGTTCTACGAGCGGCTGCAGTCAATCATTGAGAAATGCCAAGAAAGGACCTAACTATTCTGATGGGAGATCTAAATGCCAAAGTCGGAATAGACAACACTGGATATGAAGATATTATGGGACGACATGGACTGGGAAAAAGAAACGAAAATGGAGAAAGATTTGCAAATCTATGTGCATTCAACAAATTGGTCATAGGAGGCACAATATTTCCACACAAGCGTATACACAAGGCTACATGGATCTCACCGGACCACACTACAGAGAACCAAATAGATCATATTTGCATCAACAAAAAATTCCGAAGGACAATGGAAGATGTGAGAACCAGGAGAGGTGCTGACGTAGCTTCAGATCACCACCTAGTTGTAGCCAATTTAAAACTGAAGCTGAAAAAGAACTGGACAAGTGGACAAACAGCACTACAAAGGTTCAATACAGCCTTCCTTCGAGATACTGACAAACTCAATGAATTCAAGATAGCTCTCAACAACAGGTTCCAAGCCTTACAAGATCTACTGAAAGAAGAAGAAACTAGTATGGAGGACAACTGGAAAGGCATCAAGGAAGCATTAACTTCAACGTGTCAAGAGGTTCTGGGCCTAAAGAAACACCATCATAAGGAATGGATCTCTATAGAAACACTGGACAAGATCAAAGAAAGGAAGAACAAGAAGGCAGCAATTAACAACAGCCGAACACGAGCAGAGAAAGTCCAAGCACAAGCTGAATACATAGAAGCAAACAAACAAGTGAAGAGGAGCATTAGAGCCGACAAGAAGAAATACGTGGAAGAACTAGCAACGACGGCAGAAAAAGCTGCTAGAGAAGGAAATATGAAACAGCTTCACGATACAACGAAGAAACTAGCAGGGAAATACAGTAAACCAGAGAGGCCGGTCAAAGACAAAGAAGGCAAGCCAATCACCGAAATTCAACAACAGCGTAACAGATGGGTAGAATACTTCGAGGAACTCCTGAATAGGCCGGCTCCAATGAATCCACCGGACATCGAAGCAGCACACATAGATCTTCCTATAGATGTCAACCCACCAACGACGGAAGAAATTAGAATGGCCGTCAGACAAATCAAGAACGGGAAAGCAGCAGGACCCGACAACATACCAGCTGAAGCACTGAAATCAGACATCGAAGCAACCACAAGCATGCTTACCTTCTATTCAAAAAGATTTGGGAGGAGGAACAAGTGCCGATGGACTGGAAAGAAGGACACCTCGTCAAGATTCCAAAGAAAGGAGATCTGAGCAAATGTGAAAACTACAGAGGCATTACACTACTGTCAATACCAGGGAAAGTCTTCAACAGAGTGTTGCTGAACCGGATGAAGGATGCAGTAGACGCCCAACTTCGAGATCAACAAGCTGGATTCCGTAAGGATCGGTCGTGCACAGACCAAATTGCAACACTACGGATCATCGTCGAACAATCAGTTGAGTGGAACTCATCACTATACATCAACTTCATTGATTATGAAAAGGCATTCGACAGTGTAGATAGGAGGACATTATGGAAACTTCTTCGACACTACGGAGTTCCTGAGAAGATTGTCAACATTATCCGGAACTCATACGACGGACTACAGTGCAAAGTAGTGCATGGAGGACAGCTGACAGATGCATTCCAAGTAAGGACTGGAGTCAGACAAGGCTGTTTACTCTCTCCCTTCCTCTTTCTTCTGGTGGTCGACTGGATTATGAAGACCTCGACATCTGAAGGAAAACACGGAATACAATGGACAGCTCAGAATCAATTAGACGATTTGGACTTCGCAGACGACCTAGCCCTCCTATCACGTACACACGAACAGATGCAGATGAAGACAGCCAGTGTAGCAGCAGTCTCTGCATCAGTAGGCCTCAGCATACACAAAGGGAAAACCAAGGTCCTCAAATTCAAGGCGGAGAACAGCAATCCAATCACTCTTGATGGCGAAACTCTGGAAGATGTAGAGTCCTTCACATACCTAGGAAGCATCATCGATGAACAAGGAGGTTCAGATGCAGACGTAAAGGCGAGGATCGGCAAAGCAAGGGTCGCATTCCTACAATTGAAGAACATATGGAACTCAAAACAACTTTCAACCAATATCAAAGTGAGAATCTTCAATACGAACGTCAAGGCAGTTCTACTGTATGGAGCTGAAACTTGGAGAACTACAACAACCACCATCAAGAAAGTACAAGTATTTATAAATAGCTGCCTACGCAAGATACTCAACATCCACTGGCCGGATACCATCAGCAATAGCCTTCTGTGGGAGAGAACAAACCAACTTCCAGCTGAAGAAGAAATTAGGAAAAGACGATGGAAATGGATAGGACATACATTACGCAAATCGTCAAACTGCATCACGAGGCAAGCCCTAACTTGGAATCCTGAAGGGAAGCGAAAAAGAGGAAGGCCAAAGAACACATTGCGTCGGATAATAGAAGCAGATATGAAAAGGATGAATTACAACTGGACGGAGC